TAAAGAGATAAGTTTGATAACTTCCTGATCTGCTGGTTTGTTGATCAATATAAATATGTGACAGTATTACCTGTTGTTAGAAGATTAGGTTTAGGTCTGTTGATAGAACTGAACAAACAAAGAGATAAATTTTGTTAACTTCCTGATCTGCTGTTTTGTTGATCAATATAAATATGTGACAGTATTACCTGTTGTTGGAAGATTAGGTTTGATTCTGTTGACAGAACTGAACAAACAAAGAGATAAGTTTTGATAAATTCAGATCTTTAGTTTGAAGGTAGTGGATATGTTGTTATTACACTGAGCAGTCTGTTCAACTACATCATATAACCAGCTATGTATATGTAATGGGTGTTAAAAATTACCCACCTACTGCTCAAAAACTCAATGCAGACTTTTGGACAGAAACTGTAGTAGTCTTCAGAAATGAAACAGCAAAGAACAGATATAATAAGATTCAGAAGACCTGCCTCAGCTTCCCAATGGAATGAACAGCTTTTTCAGACTTCTCTTGAGATCACTAACTTGCTGTCCAGACCACCAAGTATGATATAATACATGTTGAATATGACTGTTTTTGCAGTGCTTTAATTAAAGTGTGAGAAAAAGACGAGTATAAATAGACATACAGCTCTTACTATGCTTAACATTTAGCTGGAAACATACAGCTCTTACTATGCTTAACAATTAGCTGGAAACATACAGCTCTTACTATGCTTAACAATTAGCTGGAAGAATTGGCCTTGCAAAGATTATATTAATTCTGGGGACTCGTGATTAAAGATGCAACTAAAAAAAAATTTTGCAACAATTTCTTAAATTTAATATTTGGCATTTTATGCAACAGCGTTTTAAATTTCTACTTAACCTACAGATTACAAAAGATGTATTTCTTAAAATTTTCAGTTTAAAATAATTTAATGTGGTATTCAGTTACCATTAATAAGTATAATTTCCTCTTTATTGCTCTGCTATTAGCATGCAGGGTGAAAAGTGAGAAATGTCTATACACACTGTAGGATACTTGATAGTTACTTTTTATTACATTCTCACTTTAGAGAAGTCTATTTTTTGTTTTAATTTAGGTTTAGTTCTTTTCCTTAGCTTGATTGTTTCTACATTTTGCTGTTGGCCTAGCATCTTGTTCTGGTTTGTGTAATTAAAATAACTGATTATGTCTCGGAGCTAGTAGGTATCTTGTACTTTATAAATATCAACCTAATTTATTGTTGTTCTCACTACCTTGGAAATATTAAACACAACAAGTGAAATGTGTGAACTGTGACTGGTTACTCAAGAAGTGGACATGTGTAAGAAATATAACTACCATTATAATGTTAGGTTAAAATAGTGCAAAAGAAAAAGGTTATTGGTTGAGAATTATCTAGAAGGGTAAAGACATTTCCTTCAATAGAAATGTTTAGAATTAGTCTGCAAGTTTAGTCATTGATGTATTACTTGTCTCAAATTATTATTGTTTTTACAAACTTCAACTTTGATATTATTTTTATAAAAACCCTGACTGTTATGCTTTGTTGAACAATGAAAAACATAAACTTCAAACCTGCTATTTTTAGAAAACATCACTGTAAACTTAACTCGTTGTTCCACATACACAATGGAAAACTTACCTCAGTATTCCATACACGCAATGGTAAACTTACCTCAATGTTCCATATACACAATAATAAAATTACCTTAATGTTCCATATACACAATGGAAAACTTACCTCAATGTTCCATATACACAATAATAAACTTACCTCAATGTTCCATATACACAATGATAAACTTACCTTAACGTTCCATATACACAATGGAAAGCTTACCTTAATGTTCCATATACACAATGGAAAACTTACCTCAATGTTCCATATACACAATGGAAAACTTACCTCAATGTTCCATATACACAATAATAAACTTACCTCAATGTTCCATATAC